AGTAACAACAGTTTTACTTGTTGTATTAGTAGTATTGATCACATATTTGCATACAAATTGATTTCTGTTGTGAGTATAAAAACCAAACAAACAAAATATTCTGTTATGTTTGGTCATATTTTCAAAGAGCCACTGTAGAGGGACCAAACCCTGCTCTAAACTGAAAGTGAAATAACACAATATTGCTGAGTTCTTCAGTACAAAGTGACCAAAACATAAAAAAAGCTTTATCAGAAAGAGCTAAAAGGCAACACCGTGTCACCTTTTTGCAAGGTTGTGACATCTGAACATGTTTGCAGGGGTGAAAGTGAGTGAAATAAATCTCAGCTTCTCTGCAGAAATCTGCTAACTGCTGTGAGTCAAACTTTTGTAAAGTGACCAGAAGCTGCAGACCAGCAGGTTTGACATTCTTCATTTATGTTTTGTAATTAATAAATCCAGAACGACCTTACTCGATRAGGTCTGACAAAGGTTTCGACGCTGAAGGTTGAGCAGAGTAAACTGTCTCATTTGCACCTTGGAGCACATCTTGAGGGAGACGGCAGATTGCGCTCCCTCTGGCTCTTGGTCTCGTCTTGGACYGAACACTGCGAGACCAAGTTATTTATAGCCCGGGTGCTGCAGCCATGTTGGACACTGTTAACAGACGGCACGCTCTTCTACAGAGACAGATCAACAGGGCCACTCAGACGAGGCCACCGAAGGAAGCGGGGGCCTATTTGAAAACTCATCAGAGACGGGAAGAAAATAAAAAARGAGAGCAGATAGATTAATATAACGACATGAAAAGCTGCAGAGCCAGGGGCAGATGAGAGGAGGCAAACGGACACAGAGATGGTGTGACAGCGAACAGAGCCAAGGAGGGAAATAAAGGCTCAGACTGAGGCGGTCAGAACTGAAACRGGAACCCGCACAGGGAGCACCGAGCCACAAACACATCCCTGACTGTAAAATGTAAAAGCTTCTGCAGCATTTAAGGTTCAGCTCACTTTGACCTGCAGGTTAAACTAAACATAGCTGCTGAAAGGGAGGCCACAGCATCCCGCCCAAGGCTTTCAGGCCATGTGCATTATTTAGCTATTTTACTTTCAGCTTCGCCCGAGACAAATACTTCCATTCTCTAATCACATCTGAGCAAATGAAGTCACATGCAGAGAGAAACATACAGTGCACTATTACTACATTTTACATTTATTTTCTCCCGTTATAGCTTTAGAAATGACATTTTTTTTAGCCGAGAAACAACAAATTGATAACTTTGGAAAAGCATTCAGCGGTGTATGAAGTCTATTTGCTCCTTTTGGCCACTTTTACATCAATATTATTTAGAATTAGGAGGATTTGGGCCTAGCAGGTTATTTATTTCTACAAAAAAAAAAAAATCAATTAATCAATTGTAATTCATGCTTTGGTATAACCTGAAATGAATGCACAGGCTACAGAAAATCGCCATCAGTGTGAAAGTGCTAAATTATACCTTAGTGCTGGGCGGTATACCGTTTTGTACCGAATACCGTTTTTTTTAATTTTTGTTATGATATGAATTTTTTGAATATCGGACATCCGGTTTAAATAGCGGAACATTTCGTCGCGGCCGCCAGTGAACTGTTGTTTCCCAGAGGACGTTTTTCTTGCTGCACCGCTATGTGCGTTAGCGTGCTAATGTTTGGAGCAGCTAGTTGCAGCCGCGGGTGGCGATTCCGCTGCTTATATTGACTGACGTTTAAAAAAACATCCCGTTTTCGCCGTCGCTGAATGTAGTAAACACCTCTTCAGTGACGTGCACAGTTAGATTTAACRCGGTTAGTTAATATGGAGACGTTATGCTGATGGAGACTTAACGTGGTTCTATTGCGAAAAGCCTGCAGGAAGTAGTTTGTAGTGGAGTTGGAATTGACTG